GTGGCAACACCCCCCCCCCCCCCCCCAACAACAAATTATTAGGTAAATCCTTTATTTTACAGGATGCCTGAAAGAAAGCTATCACTACCCTCTTTCCTCCCTGTAAGAATGTATTTACATCTCACTAAAAAGAATTCTATTCAGTAGAATATTTTAAAATAAATCTAGAATATCTTGTTATTTTTTATATATTTTACCCATTTATCTTCAAGGTAAAACAAGATAAATTCAAAATGCAATTGCTCTGTGGACTCCCAGTAACTTTAGTAACCTAAAAATATATTTCGTATCTTGGCTTTCTCCAAGACACACAATCAAAAAACCAGATTAACTCATACAAATTTTAAGTCTTTTGACTTAAAATGGAATTAAGATTGCACACTAAAATAAACACGTTGGCAGAATGCAGATGTTATCTTTAAAGGTGCTGCAATACACCGACATGTTTAAGCATTCACAAATCACAGTTGAACACTGTAAACATACACCCATACTGACATATAAGTAAAATTCAGCCTTCTTTTATAATAGACTACTCTAATTTTTGTTTTCATTTTTAGGGGGCCATTGCTATTATTTATATTATCCCTGGTGACATTGACACACTCATAAATTATTTTAGTTTCGCAGTCTGGATATTTTATGGTTTAACTGTACTGGCACTCATTGTTATGAGGTTTACAAGAAAGGAACTCAAGAGACCAATCAGGGTAAGTTCAGCAGTCAGTATGGCTTTTCCTCCACTCCCATAAATACTGAAACACAAACTCATCCTAAATATTTGGATTTTCAAACAACCACCTCAGGCAGACTCCTCCTTGTTTGATTGGTGTTCCCCTCCCCCCTTACCTGAAACCTAGCCGTTTATTTGTAGTTTTTTTGGACTAGGACAAAGCTCCTAAGGACTGGGAAAAGATTACACAAGGTTTATTTTTACTTGCACAGGCACAAGCCAGATTTTCAGAGATGGGAAACTGCAGTCAGCAGACCACCACTGAAAGAGTACCCGAAATAAGACCCCAGGTCATTGCACTGGAGTCAGGTCCCAGATTCATTAAAACGCAAGCTTTTACACTGCAATACAAAGAGATTTCATACATATAGGTATTTACAATATACACAAAGAGATCTCAATGAATGATTTAGCAGTTTTCCCTATCCATATTGTTACACTTTCAATTGCCTCATCTAATTCCAGAAATTTTAAAAGAAAGAACTGCACAAGACAATTAAAATACTCTTCTTTCACACATGCAGCTTCTCTAAGAACAGCAAAAGAATAAGTAATTTTGTGCTTTGTGTCTTGCAGATACCCATCATCATTCCAGTCATAGTGACATTAGTCTCCATTTTACTGGTATTGGCACCAATCATCAGTGCACCTGAATTAGCCTATTTGTACTGTGTTTTATTTATACTCAGTGGACTTATAGTTTATGTACTTTTTGTTCATTTTAAATTCAACTGGCCCCAAAAAATATCAAGTAAGTATACCTCAGCCAGCCAGCTTCAAATTTAACAGAACATTGCTAAGCTTTAGATTAATTACTGTAATGAAGCTCATTATATGGTCCATCCCATCTAAATCACATGAGCAGAGTCTGGAGGGAGGCAATTTTCCAGACATACAGTGAGGGGCATATAGTGAACTTTATTAAAGATTGTATTTTACTCCTTCCTGTGAAAAAAGTGATGTCTAGCTTCAGGAAAAGCAAAACTCAATTCACAAAGAAGCAGTACATCACTGTAGTAGCACAAGGTAAATGACTTAAAATGAACAGAACTATTTTATCTGTAAAGTTAATTTTTTGATTGTCCGTATTTCCAAACATTGCTTTAGCCATTAACTAAAAATTAGCAGACATACATTCTTACACCACAAAATACTGTGCTTTTAGCTCAGGTTAACAACTTTACTATAACTAAAGACCAAAAATAACCACAGTGCTGCTGAACAGTGTGAAAGCTGCAAGAACCCAGTGTGACCATTTATATTTTCCAGTCTCAAGAGAAACTCTGCAATTATCTCAGGGAAAACAGGATACACAGACATTTCTAAAAGGAAAGGTGGAATCAGCTAAAAAGGACAGAAATAGCTGTTCTGTAGACATTAAAAAAAAATCCATCATCTGTCTCTCCTGCCCCCCAGGATTATTAAATATTATGTAATTATGCAATTAGAAACATTGTACTCTACTAAGAGCAAGTTTAGAAAGCCTGGAATGCTGCAGCTTGGATCTTAAGATTGTTTTTATTCCCCATACCTTATTTTTTAGAGTTTGAGATATGAATACAGAAGAGACAGACAACCACACGATGATAATTTTCTCACTTAGAAAAATAGTCCAAGTTTGAAGAGAAATACTGTTCTCTTATAAAGCCTCTAACAACTTACTTTCCCCACAGAGCCCATCACTATGCACCTTCAGATGCTTTTGGAAGTTGTTCCAGCAGAGGAAGTTACTGAATAAAGTATTTTGTATGTACCAAGTTGTTTTTCAAGTGCTATACTGGTTGAAGGAGATTCAATTTAGTTTGGCACACATTTATACTTTCTAAATTGTTATGTTCATACTGGTGTATTATTTTTGCAACACTTTAGTACTTGAAAATTGTTAAATATATAAAAGATTTCTGAGCCAGATTAGTGTCCAGCAGAGTTGTTTTGTTTGCCAATATGCTACGGTATCTTGTTTTCGGCATTAAAATTACTCAAATCAAAATAAACAAGTGGAACTTTTCAATTATGAAGATGGCAAAACTTAGAAGCAACGCTGTCATGATGCTTTTGATAACACTGCCGAAAGAATGAAGCATCACATTCAGCAGGCCACACAGAAAGGACAGAAATAGCGTAAAATCAGACTAACTCCATTCTCAGTTTCTCAGACCAAACTCTGGCTATCGAAAAAATTAAAGACTGAGGAAGTGGGAATCAAGTAAAAATGGAAAGCAGTTAACAGGAAGAGAAGAGGCAGATTTTTAATTAGAACAAGATAATCAATTAAAGCTTAATTCCTCAGGTATCCATTTTCTCCAACACCATCCAAGTTACAGAACAGAAAGCGCCACAGAAATTATCCTCAGCATGAATGTGACTTTACAGAGGTAACTTCATCATCCAAGAATCACTCCATTTGGTAGCCGATGACAAATACAAAAAATAGACACTACATTAACATACAGATTAACATGACAAGAAAACGGAAAAAGCAAGCTATGTGTTCCTATTACTTCTTGAGGGTACAGGATTTCAAGCAGATAGAACAGCGATGGCTTCAAAACACAGATTTTTTTTTTTCCTCTCCACAAAATATGTTGTTTGATTACTGAATTTCTTAGGGCAGGAGAAATGTTAGAATTTGACACAGGTGTTCCAAAGTACAACTGAGCGAATTCAAGTAAGTTGTCCACAGAAAACCTCTTGCTCATGAAGACCTTGATCAAAAATTGCTTGAAGCCAAAAGAATATTCTTGAAATGTATTGCTATGTTTTTTACACTGCTCTTTATAGACTGGCTCTTGGCAGCTGCTAAGAATGTATGGCTAAAACCAGCTTTTGCTTCTATCTCATAAGGTATCTTACTTTTCAAACAAAAAATACAGATAATTTATGCCTATTAAAGAATGCACTAGATTTATCTACCAGCAGAAAAATAGTCTTACATTATATTCACATATCAGACAAGTCAAAGAAGCACAAAACATGTGAGAGAAAACATCCTGCCCTATCACTTTTTTTTTTTCAGTTAGGTGATTTGACAGTCTTCTATTTGCATCACAATGCAGAGCAAGACCAAACTATAGTTACATTAGCTATTTCCTTCAGTACTTTTACAATTACAGCTTTGCACGTACCTGTAGCTCAGGTGAAGGTTATAATTAAGCTCAGTTGTAGTCAGGTTCCCAACAGCACTTATTTTTTTTAACCACACATTAACAATTACAACTGTTTCTGCCACACAGCGGTTTTCCACTGGCATCAGCAATATTCTTGTATATTCAGAAAGAAGCAGCTTTATTATATGCTAATACTCAAAAACCTGTAACAGCCAGTGTAAACATATTAACACAGTCCTTCTCCCATTCTTGAAGCAAAGGCATCCGAAAGTTTCTTGAAAGAATAATCGCCAACAAGGAAGTATATTCTTCCTAGTCAAGGATACAACAAAATTTTAGGCTTCTTAAAATAAATCCGTAAAGTTAAGTCTATTCTAAGTCACCATATAGTGATTTATGTGCTTTAAAATCTACAGATGCAAAGAGATCGATGCCAGATTCATTTATTATAAATATCTTTTACATTACTACTTCACTGCAAGAATGTTATAGATGCACACAAATATAATAGTGAAAAACTGTTTACTGAAAGATGGTATACTAAAAGGCAAAGCCTTAGGGCTAAACAGACAAGATTTTATTGTTCATTTGCAAAGGAGAAGACAGTTTAAGGTAAATGAAGAGGGAATGAAATAAGAGCATTCATGAAAAATGAAGATTGACGTCAAACAAAACAAGTACTGAATCTACTATCATAGTGCTCGTTCCACAAAAGCTGTACAGCAGTTAGTTACTACAGTGAGCTGCACTGTACAGTATTCACAGCAAGTCAACATATTTCCAATCAAGTAACAAAAATTGCCATTGGAGTTGAGGCATCATTTCTTGATGAAGAACTAACAAATGTGGTGATTGCCAACAAACTGCTACTGTATGAAGACAAGGGATGTGGTAGAAACAATCACCAGATCATGAGGATTTGGGAAATTCAAAAATTACTAACTATTGCTAATGCAGCAAATTCACTCAGATAAAGTAAAACGAGAAGCTCTGTAATTATTAATAAATTCAACTGCTTCACAACCCAAGTTTAATCTTTAGATTTTACTGTTTGGACAGCACACGTACATATGTGCACATCATCATTACAGCCAACAATTTTAAAGTGAAGGCACTGGAAAACATACATAATGTTCTTCTATAGAGTATTTCTTCAGATTCTGAGCCCAAAGGTAAGGAGTTTGTTCACTATTTTCCTCCTAAAATTAAGGACAGTTCTGCAACCTGTTTAGTGTTATCAAATTTAGTGGAAATGCTCATGCAAGAGACACTACTTTGAAGCATAGTTCTTATCAGAGGAAAGAGACCTGTCTCCAAATTACTCATCACTTTCTGTTCCACTGTCTTCTGAGGAGGCAACCAATTCTTCGGCTACTGCAGCAGTGCAATACAGTTTTTTCGTACCTAGAAGTAATTAACAAGTGTAACATTCATAAAGCAAGAAAAATCAAGAGCTTCAGAGCAAATATATAGTTGTATTAACCGCCCCCCCAAATCCAAAACAAACTCAAACCAACAAAACTCTACACTTTAGACTACAAACCAGACTAAAACATTAAAAACTATTTCAAATTGCTTTCTGTCTGTGCTGTTCTGATAGAAAAATACCCTGCTGCCTACAGTTTGCTATTAGAGGTCCTCTCATCTACTTTCAAAGAATTTGAGCAAGCCAGCTTAGTGTCACATATCTGAAATAAATGAGCATTTCAGATAAAGCCTATGCAAAAATGAGGATGCTAATAGTTTTATGCATTATGACCACTGACTTGTTCATTCCTTACCAACTGGAAAAGGGCTTTCATCTTCAAAATCTTCCCAGTGTTGAAAATCAAAAGACACATGAGGATTCTGTCGACAAAAAACATTGGTTGAAATATCTGCAGTGACACACAGTGAATATGTTCAGAACATTTAATAATTCTCAAATTAATTTCCACTTCACCTTATTCTTCAGTAGTTTGCACCATGCTCCTTTTTTCTCTTTTGTAAGAACAATAATAGCCTCTTTATCCTTAATCACACATGTAGACTTTTCTGCAAGTATATATTGATGCAGCTCCATGTCAGCCCAATAAAGTTTGTCTCCTGAAGAAGCACTACATTATAAAAAAGTTTAAGAAAATTAAATGCAAGGTGACAGTCAAACATTTTATTATACTTAATTTTCTTAAACCTACCTGAAAATCACCTTCTCTTTAGAGAACTCACATTTAAAGTCAGCTACACTTGCTATTTTTACCTTCACTGTAACAGTTTCTTCATTCTGAAACCACTTTATTTCTGGATAAAAGCTAAAATAAAGAAAGTTTAATTGGATTTTTTTCCAAAACAAGAAACAACTGAGTTTTAGACAAGCCGTCTCACATAGAAGTCAGAATTTTTCCAACAGATTACAACCAGCCAGCTGAGTTTCAGCATCTGTAGGTGTACTCAACCACAGTAATTTGACACTTAACAGCAGTGTCAGGAAAGCACATAACAGGACATCAGCCAAGCTTGCTACAAAAGCACTGCGATCTGAGTCTCTGGAGGAGCACGTCTACCGGTTCAAGTGGGGAGATATTAACTTTGATATCCAAAGGAATCAAATCTACTGCCTCATTTAAGGATGCTATTATAGCCTAATATTGAAATGACAAAAGAAAAGGTAACAGTACCAAGACCAACCTCTGAAAGACAAAGTAAACTTTTCAACTGACAGTAGACACAGATATACATTTCTCACCAAGGTTTTCAACCTCTTATTCTACAGCTCTTATGCCTTAGACTTCCCCCAAAAGCTAAAAGGTTTTAACCAGTGGAAGATAAATACTATCAGCAACTGCAATATCCATTCATTCGGGTTACTTCCCTTATCATGCCCTCAGTCATATCCAAATCCTCATTAACTGTAAGCTATACCTCAATGTGTATTACACAGTGGAAAAGATCTTGAACTGTGCTAGCCCAAGCTGCAGAAGGAGATACAAATGGATTCAATCACCCTACCAAGAACTTTTCTGATAGGCTAAAATAGAAAATACTCCCTGCACAAGAAAATGTCAGTCATCCATAACTAGTATTAACAGGTAAAAGAAAAAGAATAAGCCCCCAAAGGGAAGCACTGCCTAGTCCCAAAATGTGTAAGAAATTTAAAAACTTCTCAGGATCTACTATCTGCTGACTTTCCCCACAAACGACACCTAAGGTGTCCTTCAGCATACTCATAATAAAAAACAAGCCTAGCATTCATTTCTACTGCATGCTTCTTGAATTACTTATCAACAGAAATTGTCCTACCCACAAAGGAGTAAGTATAATGGATCCACTTTCAAACAAAAAAAAAAAAAAGGAAAGGGGACATAATTTTGTGTTACAGACACATTTTCAAAATAAAATTACATTTTCTTTAAGAACAGAAATGCATTAAGGGGAGAGACACAAAACTGATTCATCTCAGTAAATACCAATACGCAGAGACAGAAGGGTAGGAGTTACAATTTAGACCTCAAATAGGACAGTCTTTGGAGAATAATCAATCCAGACAAGTGCAAGTCAGAGCTTATACCCATGGACTGGGCTGAAAAAGTGTTTGTTGTCATTCATTTCCTAATACTATGGTGTCTAACCAAAGATTATGCAATTTCAACACAAAGTTAGCTTCCAGGCGTAAGCAAAAGAGCAATTTAATTTACTTAAGTGAGTCACAAGATGTGTGTATACACATATATATCCAACAGCAACAGTAATCTCTCAAGCTCAAGACTAATGTAACAGAATACTTCTATTTGTATTATACCTATTTACTCACAAAACAGGTATTCTCAGTAAGGATGGTTGTTGTTTGGCAGTTCACATTAAAAAGCAAGCATGGGAACAAATCACTCAATTTTTGTACCATTTATGCTGATGCAGGGTAGAGTCTTCTGCTTCCTTACTTTGAGCTACACCATCTAAAAAATAAGAAATTCAGAAAGCTATTTTATACTTATCTATACTATAGAAACCATATACTTCCAGACTACACCAGTACCATCATAAAAATAACTTGCTAGCAATCAAATTACTACTACAAGACTATATCTGGTATTTATATTGAGTACTTCCTATTTGGAAAGATTTCATAAAGTTAATCTACTGAAAATTTTAACTAAAGAGGGTATCATAGTTATAGTACAGTGTATTGTTATAGTGTGTGTGTATATATATATAAAAATTAAAAAAACCCATGAAAGATGCACCATTTTCCAGGTCAGGTGAAGTTTTTCCCAGTTTCAAGACATTATTTATTTGAACACCGAAACATGCCATTTTAGAAACTAAGAGTTTCAGGGATGAAACTAATACTGATGTTACGATCACAGCTTGAACCTTGGCATTATAGTCACTCAACTAAACCAGGAAAAAAAGCCTTCCATGATAAGCACTCCAGGATCTTATTTGACTTTTGTCTGCTGCAACTTTTTAATCACTCAGCTTTCATCACTATGAACTCACGTGTCAACACCTGCCAGATCATCCTCAGTCCCCTTTCCATGACTGACAAAACAATGTGCTTTTAAGCCTCTACTGCCTGAATACCACATCCTTGAGCATTAAATAAAAAACAAAACAAGAGCCATTTTCTACCACCCCGATTCTCAGAAAATAACCCCAAACCAAACCTCCCAGAGAATGATGCTGTTATTCACCTCATCTTTCAACAGATTTCAAATTCCTTAAACCCTATGGCCTTTGACAGCAGAATGCTCGTCCTCTCTACAGATTTCCTGTTCGCGTATTCCATTCAGAGCCAAACAATTCTGAGTCTCTCAAGGACATAGTATTTCCTAAATAGTAATACAGCTACATTAACATGGCTTACTCTCGCAGCATCTCCAGGCTGCTAACTATAAGGTATTTGTGGCTTATTGTAAACGTTAGCTATATGGTGCTACTCTGTATACCCAGAGAAGTCTGCACTTGGTAAAATGACTGACATTTTACCAAATTGATATTATAGATTGACATTTAATCACCTGATTAAAATTTTAAAATTTTTGGAAATTATGAAAAGGTTTACCACATGGATGATTCCCAGAAGTAATTTTAAAAGAATTACAGTTTTCAGTAGGATTTTCTTGTATTGACATATTCTGTGGATTGGATGCATTCTCTGGACCAGCTGTATCCTCCTTTATGCTTCTGAACACAGAAAAAGACATTTTTAAAAGAAAGGGTTTAAAAATGTTTAACATTTAAAGGATTCCTAATCATAGTTGGAAATCCTTTTGAAGTTACATTTTTCATTGTAATATACAATAAATACAATACAGTAAAATGCACTTTTAGCAAACTGTAAATCTCACCACCAGGTTGCTGAACTTTGGTAACTCAGTAAAAAGCATTTATACAAAAATCTAAGTTAGGAGAACATTTAAAATTCTGATGGTACCAGCATTTCCTTTGCATCATGAAAACCTATTGGCTTTACTGTGTGTGATAGATAGGAAAATTATTCCCTTTCAAAGAATTCCAGTAGGTTTGGGGGCTTTTTGGTCCTATTTCATTCTGACTTGGAAAAAGGAAAAAATTCAGAATACTCAAAGTTTTTCACTTATTAGTAACACACCTCTGGCTTTCCAGCTGTACAGCTAGCGGCTTCAATGACAGCTCTTTGAGTCCCCTTTAACTAACCCTACTAAAAGATTGCCGTCAGCTCTGAATCTTTCAACAGTAGTATGAGGCCTAGTGAATCTGCAAAAAGTAATCCAAGCAGTTACATTACAGATACATGAAAGGGGAACCGTTGCACACAGCACCACAATAAAGTCGTCTGGTCTCTAGCATTAATGGTCTGGTGACCATTAGGAGGTTAGCAACCTTCTTGTTCAGTAATAGCATGGAACAAGAAATAAATTCAAAAAGGTTGTGCTCAAGGTGGCAGAAACCTCAGAGCCTGAGTGTCCTCTGTAAGGAATAAAATGTGAAGAAAAAACACTGTTCTCAAATACTGACTTTTAAGGTTGAACAAAATACAGGAAAACACGTTCTTCGGTTAAGATTAACCTCTGGTGTAGTTCTAGATAGAAATGCAGGAACCTCAATCTAAGGTGAAATGGACTATGGAGGGGGCTAGGCTTCCTCATCTTGTTGATTGGCTATGTCACAAAAACAATAGGGACCTTTTTTGTTTATGAAGCAATATTTACTCTCTGAAAGATTTCTCTCTTCCTTATTAATATTAAAAAAAAATAATTTGGTTGGCCAGACAAAAAGCATTTAAATGATATTTTCAGTGATGACTCTCCAAATTGAAGAATAAGTGGCTAAAGAAACTCCTGAACAAGATGCCACACAGAGGCCAGAACAAAAAAGCTACAGATGTCTTGCTCATAAGCATTTTAAATCAAAGGTCCTGGGATCCAGGACAGACCACAGTGAGATGTAACCTTCCCCTACATACAGTATTTACTTGGTTCTAAAAGTTTACAAGGCAAGGAAAAAAAAAGCATATAGTGCTGTTACTGCAAAAACCATCATATAGCCATACTCATTAAGGGTATGGCCCTAATCCTTTTAAAGTAAACTGTCTAAATTTTCCAGCTTGAACTCTGCAATTGTACAAACACCAACAATACACTCTACTGTACTGACTGGTAAGCATTCAAAAAAAGCCACCGATCATAATAGAAGATAACAGAATTTGCATTCAGACTCCATATTTTTATAAACTTGACTATCTGCATCAAATACTAGTTTAACATTTTCTAGAATTTGTATTTTTCTTTCCATGATGATTACGTGGTTAAAGAATAAAGGAAAGCAGACATATCACAACACTGTTGTCTGTGTTTAAATAAAAATCACATTCAGTAATTTTAATCGTGAAAACATACAGTTAAAATTAAATAATTTTTTTCCTAGTAAGATATATGCTGAAAAAAATCTGTAAACACTTACAAAGGATCCAAGTTCTTTTCATGATGTAATACGTCCATGTGTCCGCACAACTTCTGAAGTTGTGTTATATGTTCTGGATTGTCAGTTCCCAGACCCGTAGACAAGATCTCAGATCGAACGTTGTATTCATTGACAGACATCTTCAAATCTGAAAGCCTGGTAACCCGGACCTTAAATTACAAAACATACTAAATGGAAACCACAATTCATAAATGGTCTCTCTCCAACTCTTAGCTGTTAAGTAAAATTTTAAACATACCCCCATTTATTTATGCCTGTAAGCAATTAATTTTCTCTGATATTTAAACAGGAACCTACCTATGTTAATTGTTTTCAAAGTATCACCATCTCCCACTGTGAGAACGGCTCAAGTAACTAGTAGCTAGCCCCCCATCTAACAGAACCAAGATGGCAATGACGTAAACAATCCTAGCCCTGATTACATAAGTTACAGCCAAAATAAACACCACATAGTTAGAATAACTTCAAGATCCAACTAACAATATGGGGGGGGGGGCAGGGGGGCACAGAAAGAAAAACTCTAAACAAAAACAAAAGCATAGGAATCAGAGAAAGGTTGAGATATGCCATATGGGAAAGGAAACTACTAAAAAGAGAGTTACTTTCAGATCATCTTCTCTTTCCACTTTATTTTTCAGCTGACTGAACGGTCGGATGGAAAAAACATAGCATGACACAGTCCATAGCACAGGAATAACTCACTGTACTGTTTGGCAGGATCAAGCAGCCACATGAACCACATCATGATCCTGAGATATTGGGACGCCATTCTGATGAATTTGTCCAGACCATTAAAAAAATAAATAATAACAAAAAAAGAGTCCCTCAACTTGCGAGTTACTTTTGATAACAATTCTTCACAGAACTCCTTGCTCATAAAATGAAGTTATTTCTTAACAGACATCATAAAAACGCAACTAGCTTCTTCATGCCATTATTAAAGGCTTAAAAGGCAACTGCTTTTTTGTCCTTTGATGTAACTGTCAGAATAGATTCCTGCCTTTCAAAAAAAAAAAAATCCTTTCAAGTAAGACACAGTCTTGAGTCAATTGCCTACCTGCAAAGTCTTGTGAGAATAGGAGACTACTCAGAGGAAACATCATCACACAGATGACATACTCCCTAACTTCTCCCTAGTTATCACCTTCCAGTCAGCAACACCAACAAGAACACTTGGTCCAGGCCAGTACTGCCTTGCTTACGGGCCAGGGAAATGACAGAAGAACAATACAGACATGGCAACAACTAAAATGTTTTAATTTCAGGATAACCTAAAAAGTCAACTCAAGAGAATCAATAATTAAAGCAATTTTATCATGTCTGAGACTACTGCAATGAGAAGATGTAAATAAATAAATCTTAGTATCTGAAAGGTCAGAATCATAGCCTTTATATCCAATTGATGGTTATAGGTCCTCTTTTGAATGCTGACAGAAAGAAATTCAGTTTATGAAGAAAAACTCACAACACTATGCATTAACAGTCCACAAGACCAAGAAGTCTTCTAGATATCAGTGTAGTAAAATAAAATAAAAAAAAATCCAAGAACAAGAGAACTCATTCTTCCTATTCTGATCAAGAAAAACTAAGGAAAAGAGCTTAAAAGCATTTTTTAATTTGCAGGAAATTTTAGAACAAAATTAATTCTAAACTAGTGTAAGAACCATAAAAGACAGCAAAGACTTAGAAATATAAACAGAATAAATTAAGTCTAGGGTAAGAGGTCTTAGATATCAGCAAACAATTTCACAGGATCAAAGTTTCATCACACGTTCCTCTGAAAGAACGAACTATAGAATTGATTTTACCAGACAAACTCCTAAAAACTAGTAGTGCTAAAATATACTTTTAACTTTGTGACATTTGTAATTAATTTGGTGCTCTGTTACTGGTGCATATTCAGCTCTCAAGATTTAAAGTTCAAGTTTTACTCAGTCATGTATTCCATCCATACACAAGCATAGATATTTATCACAGAATGGTTAAATTTGGAAGGGACCTCTGGTCATCTCGTCCAAGACCCTTGCTCAAGCAGGGTCACCTAGAGCCAGCTGCCTAGGTGCACGTCTTGGTTGCTTCTGAGTATCTCCAAGGACAGAGACTCTACAACCTCTGAGCAACCTGTTCCAGTGCTCTGACACCACCACAGGAAATTAACCAACAGTATTACTTGAATACTATGTAGAATAAAGTTAAAATAGGAATGGACAGAAGGAAAGAGAAGAACAGGTGCTCTTGTTATAAAGGAGTTTAGATACAAATATTTTGTAATGCTACAATTCTATACCTACCATTGGGTCAACCCAAGCTGTATTGCCCAAGGTATGTACTATTTTTGCTTCATGTAGTTTTCCTTTAATTTTGTCATTTATATAGTGAGTTACCTAGGAAAAAACAAATTTTCACTGCCCTTGAAATGAATACTAACTTTACAGTTATTTAAATTATAACGAAACAATCTTCTGAGCTGAACTATGAAAAGGTTATTCAATAAATAAAACCAGCTTTGAGTAAACTAGTGAAATACTCTGACTTTACTCTAGGTTAAAATAGTATCAGCCTTTAAGGAAAGAACTTCCTTAATGGAAGAATACTCAAACACAGGTCAATTTACAGAAGCTACCCTTCTCTTCTTACTCCCACAGATTCAAAAGCCACAATAACCTCTTCTGGAAGAAGCTATTTAAATCATAGAGAAGAAAATCCCATAAATTCCACTTTATTATCTTGGAGGAAAACAAACAAGAAAATTTACTTCTTACACTCTGGCCCAATAGCAGGTATTTAATGGTAATACTAATAAGCAATGAAATTTGATGACTAAATCTGCAGTTCATAACTGTTTTCTACAAGAAAACAACAGAGAAAAATTAAAGAACTTAAAGGAAATGCCATGAAAAACACAATAAATATTACCTTTGGGTCCCATTCGATTTCATTATCAATGGGTTTCACTCTACAAACTACAAATTCCACAGCCTGAGGTGGCAGACACTGAAACCTTGCAGGTAAGTGAAGCAGCTGATAGCTCTGAACTTGACTTGTTCTGCCTTCATCTATGTATTTAATTTTGACATTAAAGAACAAGTTTTCCTCCTCTTTTGGGGAAATGTCTACCACCTGAACCCTTCATACAGCAGGAGAGGAAACACAGAATTATTATTCATATAATCAGTTATAAGAAGTTTTTTAATCTACTCATTTAAAAAAATGCTATTTTCACAGCAAAATATTTACTCTGTGTGTGCACGTATGTAGTCATTCTGTTTTCCATTTGGTAACTTAAAACAGCATGTGATAGCTTTTTAAAGAATGATTTGAATAGCAGTGACTTTTTTGCTGGTTTTGGGGGTGGACTGACTTTACCCCCCCTTTTTTTTAAAGAGTGAAAATCTTAAATTACTTCGTATTAAAAAAAGTACATAATTTAAATAATTTAAAAGAAAACAACAACGTTTTTACCTGTGAAAAAGTGTTTTCTCACATAATCCATAAAACGCTAGCTTCTCCACATTTTTAACAGAAATTTTATTACAAGGTTTCTTAAAATACTCGTTAATTTCTTCAGCAAGAATTGTATACTGGTCTTTTTGTTTATCTACTATTCGACCAAAGTAGTTTGTTGCATTTACAATGTGGAGAGGCAGCATCTGAAACCATAAAAATGTATCAGAAAAAAGGACTGGATGATTTTGTAAATGAATGAAATGTAAGTTTTCATATTCAAGATCACCTACCTCTTCCCAGCCCAAAGAGGTGACAGATGCTGCTACATACTAACATTTCATAAGATTATGAGTTGTTATTAGTATTATTCATAATCTTATAACAACTGCCCAAAGTCCAGTCAGCAGTGGACAGAAATTTATGGAGCAAGAACCGTTAGGCCTCAGTTGGTGGTATTCCACGTAAACACCAGTGAACTACACTATTATCTGCCAAGCTACTAACCACTAAGGCATTCCACATCATTCAAGCTTAATTCTAAGCGTTCTCCAACCTTAAAGTGAGTTTTAGAAGAGCTGACTGACTGCGGAAGTGTGAGGCCTTCACTCTTTTTGCACTAAAATTACTTAAATGAATAACTACAAATATACTACTAGCAACAACACCACATAAAATGCTGGGTGCATTTTGTCCAAAGGGTCATGCCAGGCAGAAGTAGTGAGATGCAGCTGGGCATATGAGGCCAGACAGGATAGTAAGAAGACCAGAAAAGTAATTTCCACAAAAAAGCACAATGCGACTTGAGGGCAACATTATACTGGGTTCTAAACAAAAAAGAAAAATGAGTATTTATCAAAGTGATAACTGATTTATAAGACAACCACCCAGGCTCTGCAGTCAGCAGAAACAGATGAGGAAATGGAAGAGGCCACAACTGCTGTGCTGAGTGCACCACAGGTACGTGCAAGTTTCTAATAGGAACATCGTGAAAACTGTCCACTAAATCCAGCAGATCCATTCAGCACTAAGGCCAGATACACGTAGGTTGTCAAAGGGTTTGACCTCATACCTACCAACAAAAACTTATTTATTAGGCAGAAATGGAGTGACACCAAAGAATCCACCCAGTTCTCCTTATGTTAATTTCTATTTTGGAAATGGCTAACACCCATTAACTGCAAGACCTGAAGGCACCTGAATTCTGCAAAAGGTAAGAGCGGAAGAAGGCAGAAGCAGCTTGTCCAAATGGAAGGCACCCAGCACTTCTTGGACACAAGTGCTCACTTTGGAAGGAAGCATCAATTGCCCTCAGCAATCATCATCCACCAAGGAACCAAGAGAGAGACTGTACAATACTGCTGTATGTAAAGACATTCCAATACAGAAGGGACTCAAAAGCCAGGTGAAGGGAGCTGGACATACACAAACTGCTACTGGGATGTGAAGAACCACCATAGAAAAGTCAACCCAGTAACCATGAAGGTTTCATGACTGTGAAACTATTAAAAACAACAAAAAAAGCCCAATTAGAACAGCACTCCGTGTCAACATGGTTTTCAAAAAGCATTGACATCTTAGCAGGAAATAACTGTTCCGTCTAGAAGGTAAGGAAGGACCTGTATCCCATTTTCTGTGGTTACTGCAAATGAAAATACTAGTTTCAAATGACAAGGCCACAATATACTAATTTTTCAGCAAGTTTGCATGAACGTGTCAGGTAAGAAAAAAAATCCTCACTTCAACAAAACATACATCACTTTCCACTTCAACTTCTCTTTTCTCCAAAAGATTAATTTGTGTTTCCTCTAAAATACATATAATTGAAGTTTATAGGAACTTTCATCTTTGTTAATTTTGGTATATGGTCTCAATTAGGCAGTGACTAAACAGAACATAAACCCTCTTCCCACAGAACAGAAATCTTCAATGCAGAAGAAAGTCTGAAGTAAACTCAGAATCACCTGCAAAACAATTTCAATTCAAGCTAAGAATTAAGGGAAAATCTGGCACACTTATTTATACAAGGGGAAGAGGAAAAAAAGCTAAAAGATAACAAATATCCAAGAGATACAGTATACATACTACAGTAATATTAATGCAATATGAAAAAAATGAGTAATATGCTAAATAGCTATTTAAAACCTGTCTTCTCAGTACCCAAACCCAAGGTAAATAATAACTTACTGTCACACATCCAGGTGTTTGTGTAATTTTATCTGGTATATTCTGGGGCACATCTATTTGTAAATTAACTTGATGACGATCTGGACACACTGTTCTATTCCTACATATTAAAAAAAGAGTTTTAGAAACAAGCCCTTTGTTTTCAGTTGTAAACTATTTTGATGTGACTTAGAATATCTTTAAACACTAAAATTTAATTAGCCCTCAATATTCAATTTCTGTCTCAAATAGCACCAATGACTCCGGGGGTCAGACGAAAAGCTCTTGGTGGAAGAGCAACAAAACAAACAAAACAAAACCACTGACAGTGAATTTTTTGTAACTTGCAACAACAGTTATCCACACTAGAAGTCCTATCTGAGAACACTTCAGCTTCCTCCTGCAGGCATTACTTACAATTCAGTTACACACAGCTCAGGGAAGTCATCATCTACTTACCCACTCTGGAGGGACAGGAGAATAGGGGAAAGATTAAAGCAAAAACCTTGTGCAATTGTGGTTAGAATACTAACCAAAATAATGGCTTGAAGTTCCCTCAAGTACATCTAAGGCAGGAGTTATAATAAACTATGCTACTATGTCAGACTATGTATGACTCGTCTCCATGAAAACATTAATAGTTTTCTTTCCATAAAAGTACCTAAAAAGAGTGTAACAGATGCAACAGTGAACAGAAAAGAAAATCATGAGTAAAACCTAATTTGAATAAAAGTATCCAACAGGAAAATTCATCAAGGAAGTAGAAGCAGTCACCATTCAGGGCATACAATGCCTTCCTACGTCAGTATGTGTGTCAAGAAAACTTGGTATTTCCTTACTTGCAAATCCCAAATGTTTTAAGATAGGCACACAGGGGCCTTGAAAGTTTCTTATCTTCTTCAGCCTCTAGAGTCTTGGCACTATAATCATACAGTTCTGGTGGAATTTCAGCTTCTGCGTGCTGCAAATAGCGTAGGATCCCAAGCGCGTGACATGCATTGTCTTCTGTTAGCAGAAAGACTGACCTTGCCTTTGTATATTCCTGATCTACAGAAGAATCCTAAAAAAAGAATAATTTTTTAAAAAAAAAGCTTTTATGTATCCACCACTTAATAATCAGATGTAATATTAACCCATTAAAGATTTACTCAAACCTTTATCACGTTACAGAAGTTGTCAGACATGCTGTGTAGACGTTGACCAAAGATTCTTGGAGAAGGAAAACTGAAATGTATCACGCAAGTTGCATCTGTAATTCCCAAAGACTGCATGCAGTCATCTGTTAAAACTAAGCACATGTTTTACACACTCATAACTGTGACAGTTCAAGCATAAAGTATATCACGTTAGTTATGGCTTTTTCCTTCTCCCCATCCATTGACTTAAGAATTCAGAAAGGTCTTTTCCCAACACACTTACTTACATAAGGCAATTATATTTCTTCAGTCAATACGCTTCATGAGCATATGGCAGCAGCAGTGTTTCATATTAGTCTCTAATAATCTAGAATAATTCTGTATCTCATATCCATATCACAGAATAAGTAGAATTGCCCACAGTCAAGTACTTCACAAGAGCAAGATACAAATCACTTGAACTAATGTAGAAATGCTAATACCTTTCTATGAACGTACAGAACAGATGTAATTAAGTCAATCTTCTTTTGCTTTTGACATACAAAATGGAAGAAGTTTTAAACTGGTAAGTTTCTGCTACTGCAAACAACTTGAAAAATAAAATTCTACCAGAACATATGGAAAGTGATTACAGTAAGTTTTCAAAGTTTCTAAATTATTTCAAACTGAAAATATCCTCTGTAGGAGGAGATAATTGTAAAATCATGGATATTCTCTGAAAGTATAGTAGCTCTTTGAAGTAATGCATCAAAAAACATGAAAAAAAATTCCTTTATGCTCCCTCGCAACAGTTAACCCTGGGACCCAGGAACAACAAAACCAATAGGGGAAAAAAAAGAAAAAGAAAAAAGATTAGCTGTAGCACTAACAAGTAAAGGGGTAACTAGAAAGAATTCACAGGGAACTGTCCCTGCGGAAATGATGAGATAACCCGGTATAAGTATTTAGTGTAGAACATGAGTCACCATGAAGGCATAATCACAACTACATAAGAAGAAAATACTTACCTATCACAACACGAGTGCCAGAACTATACTTTTTTGTCCACTGCTCCAAGATATACTTGAAATCAAACTCACTCCCTTCATGTATTTTCAAGGAAATTATTGAGTTGCTCTTCAGTGCCTGGATGACAAAGTAAAAGGTTACATGCTCTTCCAATACAGAAATAACTGCTCCAATAAACTCTAATAAATAGTGTATTTTATTAGCATCTAGCATACCTTAGCTACTGGAAAGAGAGCCAAGGGAGAGAATTAATAAAATTTAGGTTGCTTACATGTAAAAAAACCAAAAACATAAGATTGAGATTAGGGAGATTAAGCTATTAAATTTCCTGTATAAAAAGAAAACTAATAAAGCTCAAGTTCCTATAGATTAATACATTAAACCAGATGTTTAAGAAAGTGTAAATTCAATTTGAACTTTGTCCCACCATTAAGGTGTCCTCTCTATTCTACGTTGATTCTATCATCTAGCAACATGCAGGCTCACGTTTCAGTGTCTCAGAAAAAGCACAAAAATCCCCTTACCAATCTACCCATACTTAACTTGCATGAATGTAGTATTCTCAAAAGGCTTTCTGCATTTGTCAAGTTCAAGGTTTGCAAGTTAATCACTAAATTAATTTGGTTATTTGGTAAACTGGCATGTCTAATCAACTAACTTAACACTTAAAATATTTTTGTGGACATTTAAGATATTTGAAGTACACAAGGATTGCTACAAACAGCTTCAATACTTCTTTAGCATCAACAAACACTCGTCCTTGAAGAGGTGGTGGGGTTGGTTTTTATGTACTTGAAGCAATTAACCCTCAAATATTCAAGGAAAATATGTTAGAAAGACACAAGACAAAACCAGATTTGTTTCCATTAACAATCATGAAAGATTAAACGTTGCAGATACACTAACATTTACACAAGAAGAATCCTTTAAATATCACAGGATCTATTCCAGCTTCTGGAAGAGAATACATTCCCATGTTTCAGGACTGACATCTCTCTTCCGACAACATCTCAATCCAGCCACACATCACTTTGTTATCTCACCCTTGAAGCTATTGCTAAAGGTTTTAATTCCAATATCCTCATAGCTTGCCTCCTTTAGCAATATCATCCCCATCACCCTATCCAGGCTTAACAGAACTGCTTCCTATCTCTTGCTTTCCAGTCAAATCAGATTGCACTCCTCTTACTTCACATTGTTGGAAGACCAGCAAAGAGACAATGAAAACACAGAAGAGATTTTTCTGTTGTTATATATATTCATTCATATAAGATCTGAAGAAAGAACCATTGCAGGAAAACTCCTTTTTAGTCTCCACCTCTGAAATGCTGAGAATACAATCCCACAAAAAAAAGATGTAAAACTGAAGCATGTTCCATTGCAGATAGTTTTGAAGCAGTTTTATGCCAGTTTTTAAGACAACATATATTAAGCACGCTATCTTCTCCCAATGCCCTATGACTTGAAGCTTAATTAAACTCTGGTAGACTTTCACAGGACAACAGAAAACATTTCTTTCAAATCAGAGAAACAGCCTTCTACAATTTCTACTACTCTAGAGTAGAAAGCCACAGAATAGAATGGTAAGATGGTAGCTTAAGTTTTCTCCCCCCATACCACTCCTGCAAACAGTAAAAAATTAAAATTAAGTGACAGAACTTTTACTGGAAAAAAGCCGGTTTGATTTAACTCAAAGTTCCAACCTGACAGACAGAACATAGTTAAGAATTTAGTAATGAATGCATTCTATGCCAAACATTCCTGTCAGTTAGGCTTTCTTCTAGTTGGCAGAAGGGCGGAGTTGGGGCTATTTTTAGCAGAATTAACTAATTTTCAAATTCACATTCCTCCTTTATTCTCAGAAGCCAAGTTTGTTATACCTTAAAAATTAATAAAAGCACTCATCTATGTAAATTTAAATAGTGTCTTACCTTATGGACCATTTCTGCTTCATTTACTGAATTAGTGAATACCAGCACCTTCTGAAGATCATTGTGGGTGAAATCCAGTATTTTGAGTAACACAGCAGTTCTCTCACTGCTCGTGCAAGGTCGCACAACCTGGAAGTACATACAAAGCAGAGGGCTGATAATTCATGTAATCTATACATATTTAATTATATAATTCCTCCATTTAACGAGCACTGAGCGTTGTTATATAATACTGAAGAGAGTACCAGTAAATGGTAGCTCCAGTAAGTGGTAGGTCTTCTGTTAAACTTACAGAAGATACAACTCTCACAAGAGGTATGCATTTAGGACTTCTTCCTGAAGAGTAATTAAAATCCAACACGTAATCAAAATCCAACATTAAAAGTTTTTGTTCATTTAATTTTAGGCGATTTATCGATCTTTAAGTACCACTAGAAAAGCTTCACGCTCCAAAAGCATAACCATTAGACATCTCACAAAAAGTGGTGTTTTTTTCAGTTTTGCATCATGCTCAGAATATCTAGCCTTGGGGATTTCCCAACATACTCAATCTCCAAATTATTACATTGAGACACAGAAGAATTCAGATCACACTTAAAACATTTTGTATTATTCTTAAGGGCTACACCACTGTGTTGGGTTTGCATGGCAAGGTTTT